ATGATGAGAGAGAATCGTGGATCGGCTGCCTCCTGCACACTCCCTACTGGGGATCGAGCCGGCAACCCGGGCCTGTGCCCTTGGCCAGAATCGAACGCGGGACCCTTCAGCCCCTAGGCCGACGCTCTATCCACTGAGCCACACCAGCCAGGGCCCTGTTATGCTCTCTTATGATTTTTTTAAACTTCCACGAAAACCTGTTCTTCAACCTGAAAGTTACAGTGAAATCGTCCCAAAGACCTAAGTCACCTCAAGAGCCAGTTGGGGTAACAGCCAAGGCTGCGCCCCATCACCCCGGGGAGGGGGGGGCCGCGCTCCCTGACCCGCCCCCGAGGCAGGGCAGACTCCACACGGAGCGCCTGGCGACACGCTGCCCGGTGCTTAGCAACACGGACAACAGGCCCAAACAGAGGCCAGCTCCCCCACTGCCGCCTCGGCTCGCGGGACAGGCCTGCCTTCATCTATTTTTGAAGAGACATTAATAATACAGTGACGGGCTGAGCAGGAAGAAGATAAAAACGCTCCCCCCGTGGCAGGCAGAGCAGAGCAGAAAAGGTCTGCGCAGTGTGCCCGCACACAGTAGGACAGGACACACAGAGGCATCTGCCCAACGGGTGAATGAGTGAATGAATGAATGAGTGAGTGAGTGAATGAATGAGTGAATGAGTGAGTAAATGAGTGATTCTCCTTAGGGACCTCACAGCAGAGTTTCCATCGTCCCTTGGTTTCCAACCCGAATTCCCTCGGCCTCCCCGGCCCCTTCACGACAGTAATTTCCCTCCGAGCGGCGCCTCCCCCCACAGAACCCTCCACTCCGTCCTCCCTTCCGGGAACATCTCATCCGCCCGCCCAGCGGCCCACAGACACCTGAGCACCGACCGCAGCAGGGGGCACGCGGCCCCCACGGAACCCCAACTGGAGGAGGAGGAGGCCGGGTCCGGGTTCAGTCTCCGGTCCGAGCCAGCCTCTGGTCGTGGGCACATCCCCGCCAGAGCCTCAGGGGCGACGCAGACTCGAGCCCACAACCCACCCCGGCTCGGGCGGGTGTGACGGGGGGACACGTGGGAAAACGCAGTGCAGGTCACGTCTGCGTGAAAGAGCGGCTGTCTGTCCGCCCGGCCAGCGACCTAGGAACCAGGAGGTCAGGGTTCGATTCCCGGTCGGGGCACATGCCCGGGGTGCGGGCTCCATCCCTGGGGTGGGGTGTGCAGGAGGCAGCCGGTCCATGATCCTCTCTCATTGATGTTTCTCTCCCTCTCCCTTCCTCTCTGGAATCAATGAGAACATATTAAAAATAAAAATAAGTAAGAAGCGGCTTTCCCACACGCCGCCTCCTGAGACGTGAAATCGGACACCTGGACGCGCTCTGCTCCAAGGAGCTTGCTTCCCAGAAACGGGCGACTGTGAATGAATGGGACGGGGATCGGGACGGGAGGGGAAGGGGGGGCACCCCTAGAGCGGAGCCCGTCACCCTAAAAGCTACAGTAAGCCGCCTAAATATAGACGGGAGAGCCCGCCAGCCCCCTGCAAGCCGCCGTCCAGGAAAGCACCCAGCTTGTGACCGCCACCCAGGGCACCGGGGCTAAATATAAACCCGCCGTCACTCTTGCCACCCTCCC